CATTGAGCAATTTCATGAAAAAGAACCACCAAAACATCGAACGAGTGTACGAAAATCACAACGAAAAACCAAAATATTATTTATAAATAAGTCTAAACTCAACGCACCGATGCAGAATCAAAACGATACAAACAAAAAAAATTCTTTTTCAAAAGTGTTGCCACTAAATCGTTGAAAAACTACCAAATTTGAAAATGCAGTTCACACAACGAAAATCAGTCGATAAAAATGAATTAATGATACAAAGTGCGCGAGTGAAAATGGTTCCTATATAAGGTGTTCGGGGCGATCAAGGCGTGTCTTTAAATATTTTTCTAGGAAACTTCTATTTTTATTTAGAGAAATCGTATTCGCATTTGCTATTTATACTGAAACTATCAATTTACTAATAAATCCGGCTTCCACCTAGAAATGAATCAAGGCACCAGTTAATTTAAAATGGTTTAAACATTTGCAAGTTAGATCACAGCGAGATATCAACATTAGTATTAACAAACTGGTTCCTGTTCATTTCTAGGACAGACTCGGAGTAATAAGAGATTTGCACACGGTCGCGTATGACTTATAAATTCTGTCCGCGTCATGAGACTTTTTATATCGAAATACTATACATAGATATCTAAATACTAAGAAAAATATAATATTACTATTATTTCCCTTCAAATATTTCGTCTACATTAATTGATTAATACTTGAACATTTCTCATCGACATAAAAAGTGTCGCAACGCGTCTATATGGCAAATTTTTACTAAAACGCTTCTACTATTAATACAAATTGTACCTACTTAACGTTTAGTGCGGGCCAGCCTGACCCCGGCCGCAACGATGAACAATAAAAATAGAGGAATTTAGGAGTAAACCTGACCCATGTTTCGGTATGACGAACAAACGGGCCAAAGGGGGGGAGAAACGACGATAATAACTGACTCGTCACAAGGAACAGTGGAACGACCCAATCGGAGGTCAGCGAGCAGCGAGACCTCTAGTATTCGAGCTACGTCGGGAGGGGTACACCAAACTCATACGCCACAACAAGGCACTATCAAGCCTCATGATAATTTTCGAAAAAAGGTACCACACAACACGAAAAAACCTCATCGAAATAATGAAAAAAATTATCAAAAAATCCGCGCAAGTCTTTTTACTACAGTCTATTTTATTTCCGTGGTCTTTCGGGATACGTTATCTAACTCCATACAGTGTGTATCCGTTGTTATTATACTTTAAGATTTAAGTACACATTACACTGAAAAAACATTCGAAAAATTTTGAGTTGACTCTGCTATACTTAGGTTTGTACATTGTTATTGGTCAAAAGTAACATTGGGAAACTGTAGCACTGAAATAAGATTAAAGACTACGTGTAGTTTTATACACCGTCTAGAGCGTTTGACCTGATAATGCAGCCAAAACCAAGTATAAACAGACTTCCGACTTTAAAAACGTTTTGATATTGAGCGTTCGTCTGTCTAAGCAAAACTCTGGATCTCTCAATAAGCTAGTATCCGTATGATTTTTGCTTAGACCTTGCAATCAAGTATGGTGTTCCACAAGGCACAATGCTCGGTCCAACCCACCAAAAACATTTCCTTTGATGTTTTAGATAACGCATACAATTTCAAAACGTTCCAAGTTTCAATAGTTATGTATAATTATCATCGGTCCATCCGCGGACATACACGACACAAATTAAACATCGGTGCTAAGATCGATAGCGTTTACTACTGTTAAGCAAATATTTTGAGGTGACTAGTAAATCACTGTCGGGAAAACGACGAAATAGGAAACAGAGCCATGAAAACAGATGTAAAGTAACTATCAAAAACAGTGATGGGTGTTTTGGCAAGCCACGAGTCAAAATATGATTGCTTGAGGGTAGTAAACGCAGTCATATACTTAAAATTTAGTCCATCTCAATCCCAAGTGAACGAGCGCGAAGGCAAAAACTGTGAAACCTTCCTATATACACTAGGTTTATAAGGTTAATATAATCTTAAATACTTTAGAGACTTACTGTCGTACCTCGACTCAAGAGGTCGCTAGTGAAGTCCATAATTAGATACTATGCTACCTTCTATTGCACTACCCCGGCGAATTCAAAAAAATAGTTTTTTAATATATTACTTTTTAACGCTAAAAATAAAAACGTGTGGGGATATGAAGAGCACGAACATTGATGTAGGATGGAAAAGAGTCGTTAAAAAGACGTTTACATCAAGCGAAGTTTCCAAAATTTTTACTAGTCTGACACTACTAATCTCATGAACACTGCTCCTCGCATTGCTCGGCCCTCTCCCCACGACTTGCAGAGCAAGAAACACTACAGCCAAATTGGTAACCGTTTTGTTAAGTTTTGTACTAAAAACGTGTCCCTACCGCCTCCCATTGTCGAAATCAAACGAGCCCAATAGCATTTAGCTGTCCACGTTCTAGAGCGGGGGTTACAGGCGTCAAATGTAGGAGATGATATATAATGGACTTATCTTCCCCAGCATTAAATCACTCAAATACGTTGCATGCCAAAGTTTCATAGGAATAAAAGGGAATGATTGAAAAAGGTCGTGTGCAACGTTAGGACAACCGAACCCGCTCTATGATGAAAGTTCAGACCAATATAGTTCCAAAGGAACGCAAGAAAACGACGTCGAAACGTCGCCAGTCGCAACCATGAACGGGACAACACAACCGCAACAATATCCAAGTCAGAATTATAATCATTATGTAAAATAAAGGAAAAATTATGAGGAAATTGTCACTAGCTACACAGGTACAGTTATTTTCAAAAAATTAGACATTTCACTTATGTCTTACGCTTAGTATCTTACGATAAGTGAGCGTACACAAACGCGACTGCCGTGCGACAAGTCGCGGATGCGTCACCTCGTGACAGATAGACCTTACCTATCCACAAATGACAACGGACATCTAGCTAACTTTTGGATACATATTTTGCTTAAATCGAAACTATTTCTGTCAAAAAACGCTCGCTTTTGCGAAAACTACCAATCCTACCAAGTTTTTTTGTATTGGCAATAATTCTGAAATACTGGTATTGTATTTTAATGTAATATTCAAACTCAAAGACCAAATCGCTGCCTTTTGAGTTTTATTATGTTTTTAAGTAATATAAAACGAAAGCTCTGTAGAAGTTATCATTTCTAAATACTTCAGAATGGTAGATCCCGCAAAAACGAGCTATATAATAGACGCCTTGTACTTCCAATCTAAAATATTTTGCTTAACATTAAACATTGGATAATGTTGCAATTTTTTTATTAAATAGACGCTAAAGCGCCGTTAATCGTCAGTGAAGTAATCAATGAACATCGATTGTATATTAAATCGATACTAGAGATCTCGGACGTAATCGATTTATCGTATATATTGCAGTCTGATATAAGGACAGTATTGAATCGAATATTCACACTAATATAATAATCAAAAAATTAGTTACCTACTAGATTGCTTCTATTTTATAGCACTTACGATTAAAATCAGCTGCAACGTATTCGATAAACAATCGATTTTGTAATCGATGTTCAGTGATGACAAACGCGTTTAATGTCCGTTTTTAGCTGAGGATACTTTCACATCGTGTTAAGGACAATGTGAATGTTGCCAACATGAAAAATCTTAGCCAGTTGGTGCAAATTTTCAAAACTAGTCTAGGAGTTAATGCTAGTATTTTTACCTTAACGGTAAAATGAGGGCAGGAGTTCTCGAAGTGGTAAAGACTTAGATACCGCACTAGACAGCCAGCCAGCATTCATTCTGGTACGTCGTAGACACGTGAGGCTAAAATAGCCTGGCTGCCGCCTCCGGTTTGGATAAAGATGGGTGGGCGGCTTGCTGCTTGCTGCTGCCTAGTGCGTTATCTGCCAAAGTGCAGTCAGATATTTTTATTTGAACATTAAAAATAAAAGACTCAGTCATGGAACAGAGTCTTAAACAAATCGAGACAATCATGCAATTCTCTGCCAAACTCATTTTAGGAATAGCGGATTTAAAAGGTTGCTAGCGTAAAAATAGCTTTACTAGGTGTTGCCAGTATTTTAGACTAGTTTTCTACCATTCCGTACTTTACTCGATGTATCCCGATGTGTGAATTGGGCAGATATTGATGTGCAAAGTTGAATTATTCGTTAAATACAAATATTTCATCTTTGCAGAGAGACTGCGGCGAGAGAGGTGACAGACACCAGTATTTGGAACGGGTAACGTTCAGTGAATATATCATTACAGCAATTTATCAAACATACAACTAAATTTTGATAGGCTTTTGACAAAACTACAATTAAAACAATTTCACTTTTGAGAACCCCTTACAAAATTAGTAAAAAAGTTCAAAAATAACCCCGTTTGAAATAAAAATAGATTAGAATTATTTAAACTTAGATTTAAATAACTCCATTGATGACCCAATTTTAAAATACTATAACCCTAATAAAATTTAAAAAAGCCCTGACAAAAAAAAACCCAATCTAAATTATTTGACCCCGGTTAAAAAATTTAAGACCCCGTTCCAAAATGGCGTCATATTGTATGTTAGTAAGGTACATGTACTGTCCGATGTTTAAATCGCGACACTTGGGCACTACTGTTGACCAACGCTCATAAACATTCTTAAGGTTTTAAAATAACCTCAAGAAAAGTAATACTGAATCGGTTTCGGGTAAACATTTTTTGGCTTGTTCGGGTAGATTTTAGACATTTTTTGGTTAATGGTGTGGAACAGATTAGAGCCAAAATTTTTTAATATTAAAGATTATTTTTTTTCTTTTTTGAATCACAAGCTTTTCTGAGTTTGCCTTCGAAAATTATGTATTTAATTTTTTCAACTTATTTTAATAGTCATTTCTTCATATTTAGGCGAATACCAGAAACATGATGAAGTGACTACCTAAATAATATTTATTCAAGGCCGTTTTAAAATTTTCTCGCTAACATGACCAAAACTGTCCGAAATGTTCTAAAATGACCGAATTTGTCCCAAAATTCATTTTGTCTAGATCATCATATAGATAGAAAAATCCAGCCTAAATCTGTCCTATCCTGTCTAAAATCTACCCGTTTGGTTAGTCAAAACAGGCTAGTCCCTCGTGTCGGCGGGTAATGCCGGTAATAGGTCACTAACACCAGCGGAAGGGCACGGCGCGGGGCCGGTCGGCTCCTTCCTTGACGAGCGGCTTGTGGAACTCACGCCCCGGTCGCGAGTGGATCGTGGCCCAGCAGTGCTCGCAGTAGTACTGGAAATAAACAATATCTTGTTATATTCTTTATTCTAAATCAAAATTTTAGTGTTAAATGGTCTCATGTGGCATCACCGCTCATATTTAGTAAAAATCTAACTGTCATTTCCTATAAATAGTCAAAAGACAAGGTCAAATATTGTTTTAAGGCAGACTCCAATAAAAAAATTACTTTCAAATTGCCTAGACGAATGAAAAATTATTTTAACAAGAAAATCAAAATCCAAATCTCCTAGCTGGCCGCTATCATTAAATTCGTCCAAAATCTCCACAAATCAATTATGGAAGTTCGTTTATTTTCTGCCACGCACCGGCGTATTTCCGAACCGATATAAACTTCAAACTTTCAAAAAAAAAGAGCTGGCAACGCACTCTCTGACCTCTCTGATGTCCGAGTGGGGCATTAATCGTACATCGCGTTCTGCGCTTCAGCTCAGAGCAGGAGAAGCAACGGGATGGTTTTAGTCAGTAAAAGTGACACTCTCACCTCACCCTGGGCGAGAGAAGTCATTTGATGATTTTCCTCTCACAAAAAAAGTGCGGCGTTAATCGCTTACCATCAGGTGAAAGGACTACTCAGTTTCGTCGACTGGATCAAAAGTAAATGTATACCTGCAGACAGGTGACGTTGGCGCAGAAGAAGGGCGCGAACTTGGATCCGCAGCGAGCGCCGGCGCACTCGTCACACATCTGGTCGTCCAACACGTACGGCTTCACCTGCAAGGAGACGGGGGACGGTTGCTTGTAGACTCTAGCAGGTATTTTTTAACATTTGATGAAGAATCAACTTATTCAGCTCGGCCAAAATAAGTCTAGCAATTTCTGATAAAATTTGGCATTATTTGGTCTATGATAGTGGATATGTGTGTATAAGGAGGTGTAGTGTTTCAATGTCTGATAACGTTAACAATAATTTTTGAAAGCAACACCAGAAGGTCATCTTGGATGGATCTGAAGCCTTTTTCTGATAGTGTCTACGGATTTCGCATGTCTGATTCTGTCTAAGGATTTCTTATAATGTCTGATATCATTTGACAGTTTCCGAGGGTATTCGCAGTTTCAGAGGGTATCTGACAGTTTCTAATAGTATTTGTCACTTTCTGGTAGTGTCTGATAATGTCCTATAGTGTCTGATAGTGTCCTATAGTGTCTGAAAGTGGCCTATAGTGTCTGATAGTGTCCTATAGTGTCTGATAGTGTCCTATAGTGTCCGACTGCCTGACTGTCTACCACTGGCACAAATGTCAGTTACCTCGACCCGCTTGTCGATGTCCCCATGCTGTAGCTGCACAAAGCGCGCCGAGATGGCCGCGATGTACGACTGCTGGTTGGAGAACGCCACGCGACCAGCGCCCTGTAACATTCCAGCATTACATTATTACAAATTTTCTGCTCCATTCTAGTTAGTGAAACTTGATTTTTGGCGCTAGTGTGCAGAATGCATCCGTACTTGGTCAATTATCGTAAAAAATTTTATGAGCTAGTGACCCTAATATCTCGAATGCTTAAATTTTACGGTTGAAATTATTCGATTTTGATTGTTTGAGGAAGTCTGCCAGAACAGACAAGGACCTTGGATTGTGTAATGACTCACTAAAGTTCAGGTGATAAACTAAGGCTTTCGTGCCCCTTGAAGTGCTAGCCAGAGATTGTACAATAGAATATTTGTAACCGTCAAATTCGTCAGTCAATTTAAGGTTTAATACTCTCTTTAGTAGCCACCGTTATCTATAGTTGGCGCAAATTCGAAATCAAAAAGGTTTGTTTCAGAAAATACATAAAAAAAAAACAAATGTGTGTGTCGTGGTGTTGTCGAGATTCAAACATACAAACTCCAGACCTTGGGGTACTTGAGCTCGGGATCAGTGTCGATTCCAGCGTAGCAGACACCGCCGTAGAACCGGTCCATTATCATCGCCAGCTCCACTGAAATATTTCATCAATATCGTTGAGAACAAATTAGGTGTGTGATTTTTTGGACATCCGCAACAACGGATCAGTCACGAGCGCGTCGCTGATCTTAGCAAAAAAGATTCTCATTAAATGGAAAATTGACAAAAACATCGCAGCAGGTAACATCTGACCTTATCTAGACCCTTCTGAATTGTTGAAACACTCACCGGCCTTTAGCGGACGCGGCACTCCTCCAACGAACACCGTCTTCCGAGGGTCGAGGGGCATGCTGGCGTCCAACACGAAGTCTGCATCAGCGAGCCTCCAAGGTCGGATCTGCACTGGCTTGTCGCGGATCGTGGGCGACGAGACACACAAGTACAACTTGTCGTCGTCCGTTATACAGGCCTCCATTAGAGCCGCTACTGAGCTCTCGTCCTGTTTTCAACAGAGAAGGAAAGGGTGAAGATGAAGGTTGTTCTGGATAGATAGTGTGGGCAAATTCGTTAATCAGTTTTGTAAAGTTTTACTGGTTTGCCAAGGGCGGCATGACCAATGCAGGGCTGTAAAGGCAAAGCAGTTTTATTTTTATTCAGGAACTCCAACAAGCGGTAGGTACACAGCACATGCATTTTTTAACAAAGTTCTTTGAAGATTTGTGCTCGCTCAGTTACTGGAGAATGCATCTTGCATGCGTTATTATCTTAAACACAATATAAAATCTATCTATAGAAACAAAATTTCTGTTTGAAACAGGCAATTAAAAATTTCCAACAAGTAAAAAAATTTAAACAAAATGTAGCACTTGGTAAAGTACCATCAGACCCAAACCCCATCTTTCCTCAAAGCCCGTAGAATAAAAATGTGGGCAAATGTATGTATATTCTTTATTATCTATATAAATGTGGTGGTACCTGAAACAGTAGAAACGCGTAACCCTTGGGGGGGAAATAACTCTTGCTCTCTGCTTTGTGAGGCCAGTCCACAACGAGCGGCCCGAAGCGACGGAATGACGACGTTATTTCATCTGAAACAAATAAATCAGTCATTAGATGAATGATTAGTTGAGTTTAAAACCTTCTGGTACTGCAGATTAAACCTTTTTTTTTTTTTTTTTTTTTCTTTTTTTTTTTCTTGAATGGCAACCGAGTCTCCAATTTAATGTTGTCGACTATACTGCCAGTGTCAAGTAGTGACGGCAGATTATGGGCCCGTCGAACTTTAACTTTGTGGTAGTTTTTTGTTAGTAGCTGAAAGGACAACACATGGGTTAGTAAAACTATAGCTACTTATTTTATACTATACTAATTTACATTATATAATAAGGATAAATAAGAGGACAAACACAACTGACATATAAGTATATACCAAAATATAATATTACACACCGTCACAGTTTAATATCATTATCTTTAATAAACTTGGATAGACATTTTATTAATTTGTTGGAGAAGTGGGTTAAGAGGGAGTGGAAGTTGATGGGGAGGGGGATTTGAATATTGGGAAGATTTTTGTAAAGGTCGAAGGATTGGGAGTTTAAGGAGCAAGAAAAGAATATATGGTCTAAAGTACCTTCATCAAGACCGCATTCGCACAGCGAGCTGTCACGAACACGGATCTTTTTAAGGAAGACTGGACTACTACAATGGCCGAGTCTGAGCCTGCACAGAGTCGTAACAGTGTGTCGGGGGAGTTTAGTATATCTGCAAAACCAGGGTTTCCGCTGAATGTTGGGTTGGATATTGGAGTAGTAGAATCCTTTCCGTTTGGAAGTGTCTACCCACACTGCAGCCCAAGAATCGAACAGCCTGCGTTTTGTGTCCGCGCGTAAATCATACCCGTATACAACGTGATGCTGTTGATCCACATTGTTCGAGGCCGCAAACTTTGCCAACGTATCCGCACATTCGTTACCACGTATACCAGAGTGTCCAGGGATCCACGCGATTTCGACTTTGAGGCCATCTTTTTGGCACGAAAACAATAGTGACTTAATTTCAACAATTAAGCCACTGTATGTTCGGGAATGAAGCTGGTCCTGACGAAGAGCCTGAAGACTGCTTCTGGAGTCTGAGAAAATAACCGAATTATTAAGATTGTGACTTCTTATAAATTTTATAGACTCCAGAATGGCAGTACATTCTCCAGTAAACACAGAGGACTCAGACGGACACTTGGCGAGCAAAGCAATTCTTGAATTCTGGTAATATGTTGCCACTCCTGTGCATCCATTAGGGGTCAGTTTGGATGCATCTGTGTAAAACAAATTCCAGCCTCTCCAAAAATTGTTCAGCGCGCGTTTGAATTTGTCATTAGCGTGTACTGAAGATTTTGTGATGCCTAGTTCTAAGACAACGCTTGGCCTGAAGTGAATAACGTCATATGCGGAAGAAAAGACCGGGAGTACAGGATATTGATTGATGGGTGCAGAGAGGTTTTTAAGTTCCCTGTACCTAACAATCACAGGAGGGACTGGTTTATTGTTCCAATATGAAGAGGAACGATAGGAGCAATGGATCTGTTCCAGGATCGGGAGTAGGGGATGTGTTGAGAGGGAAAGGACTTTTGAAATGAAACGGTCCGCTAGGTATTGTCTCCGAAGATCGAGGGGGGGTTCTGCACATTCGACTTGTAGAGCATTAATAGGGGATGATTTCATAGCTCCAATAGTTATTCTTAGGCATTTGGCCTGAATGGAATCCAGTTTTTTAAATGCTTCCTTATTGCATGGTGCCATAAGAAAGCAACAATAGTCGATTACACTTCTAACCAAAGCATTGTAAATGAGCTTCAATGTGTAGGGGTTGGCACCCCACCATACCCCAGCTAGTGCTCTGAGTACAGATACAGATCTTTCGCACCTTCTGACAACACTGTCCACGTGATCCACCCCTGACATCCTCGAATCCAGGGTAACACCCAGGAATCGAGCATTGTTTGTAATTGGGATAGCTTGACCTTCGACCTCTATGAGGAGGTCAGGAGAACGACGTCTACGCGTAAAAATGACTGCCGAGCTTTTTGGTGCGCTTAAAGATAACCCATGATTAAGTAGCCATTGGTTTAAGGAAGACAAAGAGACATTCATGGAGAAGGCAGCATCTGTTATAGAGCTATCGGTGATCATTAATGCAATATCGTCAGCATACTGTAGGACATTGCAATTGTAGTTTAAACAGGAAGGAAGGTCATGTGTGTAGATGTTGAAAAGGATGGGACTAAGGACTGATCCCTGAGGTAAACCCCTCCAGACGGATCTCTGTACAGGGTTCTCCTCAGGAGTTCTCAATTGGAGGGTGCGGTTGGAAAGGATGTGACTTATGATCTGACAAATCCTACTGGGGATTCTCAGCTTATGCAGCTTTTGCCTGAGAAGGGGTAGGAGAACAGAATCATAAGCCGATGAAATGTCCAGGAAGACCGCAACCACCGACTCATTCCTGCTAAGAGCCAGCCTGATGGCTGATGTGAGGGTCCCCACACTATCAGCTGTACCCAGGCCTTTTCTGAAGCCAAACTGAGTCGCCGGCAGCAGCCCCCGGCCTTCCACCGACCACTCTAAACGGTTCTTAATGAGGTGTTCAAATATTTTTAAAAGTATGGACGATAGTGCAATAGGTCGGTAAGACAAATGATCACCAGGATCTTTACCAGCTTTCAACAGCGGCATAACAACCTGAACCTTCCAGGTGGGAGGAATATAGCCAGAAATAAAACAAAAATTTACCAAGTCAAGGTAGAACTGTTTGGTTTTGGTTCCTGCTTTTGATAGGAAGGAATAAGGAAACCCATCAATACCTGGTGCAGTGTCCTTCACATGGCTCAGTACCGTTTGTAGCTCTTCCATTGTGAACTTCATGTCGAGGGGGTCATGTGATCCTTCACACAATTCCCAACAACATTCATCTTCACTGGGAACATAAATAGGAGCAACATTGGCAAAGAACTTATGACTTAGACTATCAGGTAAGATGGAAATTGAAGGAGGTTTAGAGGAGTTCCTAAAGCTCTTCACCCTCTGCCAAACCATTGCCACCGGAGTGGATGGGCTCAAAGAACTACAGAACCTCCGCCAACCCTGTTTCTTCTTCTTTTTAAACAGCTTCCTTGACTTAGCCAATATCTGTTTGAAGTTTAGGAGATTTTCCAGGTTCATATCGTGGTTATATGTCTTTTCAGCCTCATTCCTAGCTTTTATCATGGCAGTGCAATCACTATCCCACCATGGAGGGGAGGGGATTTTTCCTTTTGGAGTGGTTTTCTCCGGAAAACAGTCTTTAGCTGTGGAAGCTATTATATTGGAAAATTTGGAAAAACATTCTAGTGCGTTCTCAGCATTAACTGTAGGTAGTACAGAAATGCGAAGGTCTAATAATTTTGAATATAAATCCCAATCAACTGAGTGCAACTGATACTTTAAAAGGGGAGGAAGCGATTTGTCTGGTACAGATTTATTAAGGCTCTTAATAATGATGGGATAGTGATCACTACCATAGGTCATATCCAAGCAACTCCAATTTAGCCCACTAGCCACACTAGATGAGCAGAAAGTCAAGTCCACGCAACTGTTTTTTTGACCAAATGCAGACCTACGGGTGGGGCTACCATCATTTATGACGCATAAGTCAAGCTCATCCAGCATTTCTACTAAGTCGTGACCTATGCTGTCGCATACTTCAGACCCCCATCGAAAGTGATGGCAGTTGAAGTCGCCCATTACTAGTATAGGGCCGCTAACTGAATTTAATAAGTTCTTAATTAAAATGATATAATTACTATGGGGGCGGGCAATATAAAACACAAAAATGTTTATGTCCTCAGCCTTAACAGCGACAACATTTATGTCATCGCCAACGAAGGGTAGAGGGATCTGGGAGAAGGGTACTTTGTTATTAACTAACAAAGCACAACCTCCGTAACCATCAGATCTATCCTGTCTGACAACACTGAAACCTGGGATCCTGAAATTAATATTCGGTAGGAGCCATGTCTCAGCAATGCCACAAATTAATGGTTGAAATTTATTAATTAGGTGGAGTAAGTCACTCTTCCTGGGAAGAATACTCCTCACGTTCCACTGAAGGAGAGTTAATGGATGGAATTTTGTAAATATAATCTAGGATGGTAGCCAGTCTTTGTGCAACGTGGTCAGGTACAACTTGGGCAGGGTTGGATAACACCGCCATCAACATATTGGAAATAATGTTTAAAATGTTTTTGGAGCTATGCTTGTTGGTTCCGAATTCCATAGGGAAAGCGCAACCATTTTGAGATGGGGAAAAGGAATAGTCTTGGATAAGGGCCTGATGGGCCTTCTTATCATAACTAGGAGACAGGGGGACATGGGATTTAGGTTTAAGAAGGACTGTTTTTTTATATGACATTCTTTGTTGGGATGGTTTTTTGGTAGGTGTTGAGTCAATGTAGTTTGTTGATTTAGACACCTCAGCATATGACTTTTTGACAGGGGGGAAAACCTGGCTTGCTTCAGCATATGAGATGGATTTTTCTGCCATTAAAGCTTTAATGCTCTTTTGGCGGCCTAACTCAGGACAAGCACTATCGTTTGCAAAATGATTGCCACTGCAATTAATGCAATGTGCAATCTCACTAGCTAGTTGACATCCATCGCCAGGATGATCCTGACCACACTTGAAGCAACGTGGTTTCGAACGGCATAAAGTGCGGGTGTGTCCAAAGCGACAACAGTTAAAACATTGTATTGTCGGGTATGAGTATAGTTCTACGGGGAGAGCAGAATAGAAACAAAACACTTTTTTGGGTAGAATTTGGCCATCAAAGGTCAAGACTACGGTTTGGGTGGGTTTCCATTCCATTCCGCTTGGTGAGGAAACTTTCCTGTTCAACCGTCTTGCTTTTATAACAACACCACATCCTGCAGGAACCCTGATGTTGCTGATAACCTCCTCCTCCGACCACTCAATGGGAACATCCCTCACTATGCCCATTCTCGTAATGTTAAATTGCGGGATCGACGTAGTGTAGTTTTGTGCCACCACACAATTC